ATGTTAATGTGGACCATATTACAGGTTTTATATTCTTTGAGGTCAAGTATTGGCTATTAGAAGGAAAGTTTGATATTTTAGTACTTTCTGAAACGAAGCTGGATTCCAGTTTTACAGATAGTCAATTTATGGTCACCGGATATCGAATGTGTAGGGCTGACAGAAACATACATGGCGGTGGTTTATTGGTCTATATCCCCGCAGACCTCTGCTTTAAAGTCATTAAAGACCTTCCCAATCTTCGATTATGTGAGCGTGAACGGTACAACACTGAATCGATTGTGCTGAAGGTGAGGATAGCTAAGAAGTGGGAAACCATCTTCGGTATCTATAGACCTCCAACATCTGCGTCTGTCCCACAATCGCTATGGAAATATGAACTATTCTCCATACTTGAGGCGATCACAATACTTCATGGTAACTGCTTTTTCGTAGGCGACTTTAACTCGGATATGTTACTACCAGACAAGCCGCCGAGGGATGGTAGAGTTATGGCAAACCTACTTGATATTTACGACTTGAAGAATTTAATACATGAAGCCACCCGTATTACCAAGACATCAGAAACCCTACTGGACCTTTTTCTCACTGACAACTTGAGAAAAATACAGTCATCGGGCGTAGTCCATGTTAATATAAGTGATCACTCTCTTGTGTTTGCCATGCTCAGAGCATCGGAACCGAGAATACGATCTCGGAAAATACAATTCAGAAGCCTTAAAAATTTTGATAAACAGCATTTTCTACATGATTTGCATAATGTTCCTTTCCAAGTAGCTGAAATATTTGACGACGTTGACGATAAGCTCTACGTGTTTGATTGTCTATACGAAGACATTCTTGGTGAGCATGCACCTTTGAAACAGGTCTGCATAAGGGGAAATCAAGTTTCCTTTATGAATGAACAATGGCGCAAAGCTATTCGTCAGAAAAACCGTTTGTGGAAAATTGGTGATACTTATTCGGATTGGATGAGCGTGAAGCGTGGCGTGCCTTAAGGCAGCGTCCTGGGACCCTGTTTTTCAACATGTTCCTCAATGACCTCATCTTTCACATTAAGTCTGTAAAACTAAACACTTATGCTGATGACTGCCAACTGCACACATCTGACGTAGACCCAGTAGCCTTGGAACAGCGGATCAATCATGATGTACAAATAGCAAACAAATGGTTCGAAGACAATGGGATGAAAGCCAACCCCGCTAAACACCAAGGGATGGTTCTTGGCAAAACCGATTACCCCTTCTCCTTCTCAACCACAAGATGCCTGGAACTTTTTGGAATAATTCTTGATAATGAACTTAATTTCAAGGAACACATATCCTCTGTATGTAAAAAAATAAATAATCAGTTCAGTGTCTTCAAAAGATTTGGCAAACTTATTTCTACCGAAATTATGCTTCGCCTTTATAAAACGTTTATGTTACCCCATTTTCACTACTGTTCAATGATATGGCACTTTTGTAGTTCAGAGGACTCTGTTAAACTGGACACCTTAAATAGACGTATTTTAAGATTTGTTTTAAAGGACTGGGACTCGAACTATGGTGATCTTTTAGACAAGGCAGGTGTGTGTGGTTTAGCCAACAGGAGGATACAAAATATGATGATTTGTATATTCAACTGTCTCCATCTTGGTAAATATCCGTGCTATTTGAAACAACTGCTCAAGCTAAGATCTACTGCTTACTCCCTGAGGGGCACCAATATTTTTTCACTTCCTAAGCCGTTTACAACCACATATGGTCTAAATTCTTTTAGCTATTCATCTGTTAAGTATTGGAACTCCCTCCCTGACCACTTTATAGATTATAGTGAATTTAAGCGCAAACTGTCAGTGCACGGTTTCTGTTAATATTACATTAATAATTAATTATTACATAATTCTCTTTTTAGCCTTGTTCTTGCTGTAACTTTTAAAATTAGTAATTAGGATCGGAGATACTAGCTTGTAAGCTACACTGAAATCCGAGGATAAATAAAGCTTATGTATGTATGTATGTATGTATATGTATGACCATAAAAAGAAAACATTCCTTAGTTTAACACGAGAAAGATAAATAATGATAAGAACACTGTCCACATATCCACCGTCGGTGCGGTGTCACTATAAATGCCAACAATTAGTTAACATCTTCACTTAATATTAAAGAATCTCTCTTTCAAGGACAAGCATCTTGAGATTTTAAAAGATCTAAAAACTTATCGTCCTAATAAAAGATACAGCGACGTTCCAACACGGGTGCAACCTCTACAAGATGGGTACTAACACATTCAAACACAGGAATTCATTGCTAGAAAAGTATGAAAAGGACAAACGAATTCTTACGTTCTTTTAAACAACTGCGCATGTATGCAACAGAATTTACCTGTATTGTTGGTCCCTTGATACCACAGAATACTTTTCGCTTTACTGTGCCTTTTAATAATCTTTAGACTGAACCTTTGCCTGAGGTTACGTTTTGTACCCTTGATACCTCAGACTACCTTTCAATTAACTGCCTTTCAAAAATCTTTTAACTCTAAAACTTACCTTAAGCTTGCGTTTTTTGCTGTAGTCTTTAAACGACTGAAACGCCATATGGTTCAAATGACCACTGTGATTAGTGGATTTTTTCTTTTTTTTTTGGCAGATTTTGTACTTTCAATTATATGGATGGCAAGAGAAATGTAGACAGATAACTGAACTTCATGAAGAAAAAAAAAATTGCAAGTCGTGAAAAGCACAAAGATTACAATCATTTGTGGAATACCAGTTGCTTGGGATAAATATGACCGGCGATTATTTATCCGTCATTCATATTTGAGCCGATTAATAATTTTGTCGATCGTAAACTTGCGAAGAAGGTCCTTCCCCTCGTCTCCCTTTTCAAAAAGTTTCTTGACTTTTGGGTTTGAAATGATACCTCCCCTCGCCATTACATCTTGTGTACTATCTGTGGTACACGCTTGCCAATTCTCCAATAGCCTTAGGCACTCTACATCTACTAATGAAACCACGAAACCACCCAACACCGGTACCGAGATTTGATCTATGAGTGGGGCAAATTGTAAAATCATCGATATCTTTTGGCGTCTCGAAGATGTTGGCTCGCGACAAAATAAGATCAACTTCAGTTTCTGGATCTCCGCAAGTAACTTGAAGTGTCTTTTTTACAACTTCGCAAGGGAACGACCAGAGATATGCAACGTCGGTCTTCTCGATAACTATACCCTAAAGTTCCATCAGCGAACGATTTAAATGAACAGCTAATCTCCTTGTTAGCATGTAAGATGAGACGCTTATACAGCAGATCAATTAGCTAAATTAGTATGTAGCTTGTCAATCGAATTGACTTTTGTAAACATTCTTTGACTTCCGCCGGCAAAGGAATCATTGATGGATCTGGACATTTTAGTTTTCTGAATGCAGCCATTCTTGGAAGGTTTTTATAGATATGAAAAGAGGGGAAAAAAACCATCTCTTGGTAATTCGGAGGTTGATTCATCTTTGAATTTATGTGTCACGCTTGTCGTGCAACTAAAATAATAATGTGGAGAAGATTTACAAACTGCAAATTAAATCTGGCTAAAATGTGGTAGAGCATAACGTGATCATCGAAACAGCCAATAAAATGATAAATAAACAAGGTGAGAGTGTCGTGTTAGATTTCTTTACAAACTGTAGTGATTTATACCAATAAACGGTGGCGACAAGTAGGCATACCATGTATATTTCATAGTCGCTGGCAAGTAAATTTTGCCGGACTTTGAGTTCGTCTCACGATAGAACAACACAATTACAAAAGGACATTTTTAGAGTAACTTTATAACCATTCTTTTGTCTTTTAAAAGCTATAAGCTCAGTAGATTCTGTCATATTGGTCATTGTTAAAACTGTCTTTGTTTTGATGCCACTTTTCGACATAGAAAAAGTATGTTGGACAAAAATATTCACCAAAAAATAAATATTTCTTTTCCAGCTTCAATAATGACAGGGGATTACGTTTAGATGATAAAACAGAGAATTATGCTAACAGAAATACCGGACGTTAAGTAAATTCGTTACATGAGGTCACACAACTGAGCGGTCGAACGAAAAATATAATTTCTCGAAAACTAAAATATATTTTCATAAAAAAAATTACACCACAATTATTTGGACATATTGGGCTACAAAATATGAGAGTAGGAGAGAAAACGAATTTTGGGCGACTTGTCACAATATTTCAAATTTGTTCGATGGATGTTGACATCCTCTCTTAAGTTTCCATTTTTTTTGGTCTGTTTGTTTTGTCTTTTTTTTTTTTTTTCAAACCAAAAGCCATTTTAGAAAACTTTTGAGCTTTGGCGTAGTGCTGTAGGGGCTGCAAACATCTGGAGTTTACAGCTAAAACTCCAAGCCTCAGAAATGTAAATTCTCACAGAACACCAGACTCTCCAAAATGTACAAATCATATTAACTTTGCTTATAACACATCTATCGCTTCAGTGCTCCGTGAATTTCGGGTTTAAAACTTTTTCTTTGAATGTTTTGTGTGGACAGAGATGCATGACCAAATTCAACGACAAAAGAAAAAACTATCGACACCCCAAATTTTATTCCAAAGTCCAAAACTGTCACTCACAGCTTTTATTATTGTGACATTTCAATTATCGTGAGTCTGGAGAAAGCATGGTCAAAAGTCCCAGAAATAGTTCCCTAAATAAACTGCTTTGCTTTTACTTTTGAATTAAATTACTAATTAAATACAGTACCTTGCATAATATTTTAGCCATGCCGGGGTATTTATTTCCTTATAAGCCAAGGGACCTAAAACTAAGTTTTTCTGATTTTTTTTCATCTCTACTGGAATTTCTTGCCATGCTAGATTTTATTTTGCAATCATTAAGAAATTAGGAATTCAAGAGGATGTTTCCTTTACTCCTGTAAATTTTCTTTCACAGTAATACTCTAGCTAACCCAAACTGCTACAGAAATTCTACAATTACCAATACAACAGTCTGAAAAATGAATACTGGTACTTACAATTAACAGTGACATTGACCGTGGCTGTAGCAGGTGTACCCACTCCATTTCTGGCTGTGCATTGATACTGGTACATGTTATCTGGTGTCACAGGTCTGTCCACAATAACTGAAACTGATGGTGTGTCAGTTATCTCCATAACACCGCCAACCTTGGTCCATGCTATCTTGGGTTCAGGTTTGCCAGATGCAGTACAAGAAAAATTCAGTCTGTCTCCTTCCACTGCTGTGGTTGTTTTGTTGGATATTTCAACTGACGAAGGAACTGAGACACAAATTGAACCAATTAATACAAAATAAGAGGATAGCAGAGAGTCATGGACAAACCTGAGAATACTATTTTCATGTAGCATGTGAGCAGGCTTTCAATGGCACCAAGACAAACACATATTAAATACTTAGTTTTAAACGTGAACTTGATTTCTTCCCACACAAAACCTCTCAGTAGAAATTTAATTTAAATTTATTTTTCGTCAAAGGGAAAACTATCACATTGCGACATTAATACGAACCGAAATTTTAATGCAAATGCAGTCTCCCTTAGGATTTTCCTAGAAATTCCTAGGAATAAAAGTGTGAATTTTCACGGTAAATTCGGACTGGGAATTCCTAGGAATTCCTAGGAATTCCCAACCATAACAACTATGGTTCTAAAAACCTAGAAATTCCTAGAAATTCCCAGAATTAACATCAATTAACAATAATAACATCAACATGTGGTAATATTGGGATGGAATTTGATTTATTTTTCTTTTCTTGAGAACCTCATACGGATTTAAATCCTCAATTACAGCTATTCATATAAAATAGTCCTAATCAATCATTAAATTTGGTTTGACACAAATTGTGAATAAAATCTGTTGATTCTTTTTCATAAAGTACAATATCTTAGATTATATTTGAAAACCAGGTACTCTTGGGAGTGAAGGGGTTAATTACTGATAAATAAAATTAAAATTAAAATCTTGTTGTAACTGTAATAATAAATTAGAATGTTTGTTTGTTTTTGTTTTCTTTTTTCTTAAGACCTTATCTGGTTCATTTTCATAACACATCCATGCACAAAAAGCTCAAGGCGCCTGCATAACAGAGTTTAAGGAACAAAGGGCTAAGTTCTTGTGTCTGTGTTTTTTTATATAGGTTTCCCTTTGTTAAATAAAGTAATTATGGGAAAAATAAGTTAGGACAGGCTGTACAAATTCCATTGGGCATGAGCCTACCTTGTTTGCCTTACTTTTAATTGAGAAAGATAATCATTATACATGTAAATTAATCTTCTCACATGGAGATGAATAATTTATTTTGGAAGTTATTGGTGGAAACATCATGTTTAGTTATGCTACACGTGAACTGCTTATAGGACATAATTGTGGGAATATCATTTAAATAATATCAAGAAATTAGTGTTAGTGACATCTTAATGACTTGTAAAACAATGATTTCCAAATCAAGACAGACTCAATACAAAACAGTTTGAACCAAGGACAACCAAAGCTGAGAAAGAATCGTGTTCTAACTTCCTAACATAATTCATCCATTAGGAGTCAAACTAACCACCATGACACCCCTTAGCCACTGCACTATAAAAGATAGTAACCGGTCAAGTCGCCCGAAACTTGAGTCAGGTTGCTCGAAATTTAAGTTATGTCGCCCGAAAAAAAGAGTCAAGTCGCCCGAAGAAACAAATACGAAAAACATCTGAATTTCAGTGTACGTTTAAGTAACGATTCTAAAAGCGTTGTTCGTTTCTGGCAACAAAAGGAAGCGTTGTCCATCTCTAATAACAAAATGAAGCGCTGTTGGTTGGTATATACTCGTTTCTTACTCACGGACATTTCGTAAGCTTGAGAAACTCTTTCTTGTTTTCCAACAATATCATGAAGACTTTGACTACACAGAAATCGATCTTATGGTCGTAACTGAAATACGTTTGAGCAACGATTCTAAAAGCGTTATTCGTGTCTAACAACAAAGGGAAGCGTTGTTCGTGTCTAACAACAAAAGGAAGCGTTGACCCTTTAACGACTTGTCAAACGCGACAATCGACATTCGACATTTGTTTACTAGGTTTTTTCATCTGTTATTGTTAAGAAAGTCACAAATAGACACAACAGAACTTTCGGAGCTGCATCCGTGCATTTGTTATTGTAGAAACGAACAACGCTTCCCTTCATGGTATTGTTAGAAAGCAAGATAAAGTTTCTCAAGCTTACGACACGTCTGTTAGTAGGAAACGATTAAATACCATATTATAAACGAACAACGCTTCATTTTGTTGTTAGAAACCAACGTTTCCCTTTGTTGAAAGGAACGAACAACGCTTTTAGAATCTTCATGGCGTTGTTGGAAACAAAGAGTACTTTAGTGATTAAAATTTCTCAACTTTATTGCCTATTTACAGTCTGAAATTCTGATGTTTTTAGTATTTGTTTCTTCGAGCGACTTGACTTCTTTTTCGGGCGACATAACTAAAATTTCGGGCAACATGACTCAGGATTCGGGCGACATGACTTCGGGCGACATGACTTCGGGCGAGATGACTCTTAGGCGACTTGACTGTAAACCTAAAAGATACATGGTAACTCACCAACAGCAATAATATTAAGAGTGTCATTGTTTCCTGTGCCCACTGTGTTTATTGGAACACAAGTGTAGACTCCATCGCCTTTAACAGTAATGTTATACTCTCCAGAGCTGCTGTTACCAATATAACTCTCATTTGAATACAGATGATACAAAGCAGGAGGGTTGGCATTTGTGACACAGAGAAGTGTCAAGCTGCTGTTCAAAAGTAATGTAGTGTTCTTTGGATTGCTCTCAATGGTAAGACTTGTCATCCATGGAGCAACTATAAAATCAAAAACAGGAAGACTTCATATTGGCAACCAGGTAAACAAACAAAATCTCAAGTGATTTATGTATCTTAAAACTCAAATGAAAGACTACCTGTTTAGCTTCTTAATCCAATGATCAGTGACAAACAATTGCTTTATACTTACTAAAGTGTTTAACCTCTTTTAACCAAGGAATAAAATTTTAAGCCTGTAATCAAGCATATCCAAATTAGAGTATACGTAACACGCTTTGAGCCATAACTTCGTTGGTGCTAGCGTACCAGTAAACCTAAAACCGTGAAAATGATTTGTGCAACAATCTATTGAAGGTACACGTATAATCATGATTTGGTATTAGTATTTAACAGAATTTTCAGGCTGTCTTTCCTCTTAGTGACGGCTTCAGAATACTTTTCATTCTCACTTCTCAATTATAGGTTCATACTGAGCTTTTTGCGTATGTACTTAAGATCACATTTTATACTCTTTTTGTTGCATGGTTATTTTAATTATGTGCTTTTTGGAAATTCTTCTCCCTTGTTCCTTTTCTCATTTCATTTCCTTGAAATCTTTTTTTTCATCTTTTTTAGCCACACTGCAGACTGAACTCTTCGTCCATATCATGACGGGTTTGGAAACTTCTGTAACCCATAACCTGCTGGGCAACATAAATAACTGCAACCTGTGACCTAAGAAGGAACCCATCTCTGCCCATCAGTCTTCAGACATCAGACTGTACTTAGGATAGAGCATCAGTGCCCTTCACTGTATTTGCATTTCTAGTTGACCGCCTCTTTGCTCATTGAGGTTGCAGGGAACTATGCGTTCCCTTAGCTTGAAAACAAGACTTCTTGCGTTCCCTGAAAATGTTATAAGGGCTACATATGATCTGTATCCATGCCCTCTGAAAAAGTTTTAAGGACCATCTGTCCGTAGTGGGAATCTAAGTAGGGACCAACTCTGTCTTAACGCAGTTTTGTTCTTTAGGTTAAATTACCCATTTGAAAATAATTACTACTACTATCAATAACAACAATCATAACTATACATGTGAATATAATAATAACAATGATATTTAGTACATGTATAATAATAGGGAGAACAATTAAACAAGGAACCTTAGACAAAGTTTTTCTACAATTTGATCAAGCTGATCAAGGGGAAGGATAACAGATACATCAAAGACAAGAATCTTTAACATGGACGAGGCACTGATATTGTGTTCCTTTACTTTACTTTAGCTCGGCTAATAAGTAAATACGTCCCGATTTAGTAGAGTTTCCATATGCTAGAAATTTTTTTTTTTTAAAAACTTTCGGCTATAAGCTGAGACTCCCTCTAGAGCCCAAATTTTAATTCACTTCAGTTTTAATTTGTGGAAAAATCGCTCGGCTTATAGTCGAATATATACAGTATATCACTTGGCAATAGCCAAAAGAAGGCCAAAATAAATAAATGTTAGTCTCCTCTGTAATACTTAATGGTCATTTAGTGACGTTTAACACGAAAAAGCTGTGTTTAAAGCCAACTTATTGTGAATGGAACTGATGGGCTAACGAAAGGGAATTGTTTTTCATGCTTTTCTTCGGTGGGTGCTTTACTGAGGTAGCCACCTACTTCAAATCTTATTGAAAACACTGTAACTAAAAGGTTAAGAAAGTAAGTAGTTGTTATTGAAAGAATTTTAATTGGCTTGATTCCTTCTGTTACAGTAAGGCTCGATTCTTTTCATAAAAAAGGCTCTAAACTGCGAGATTCTTATAAAGACAGTGTTTGCGTTCAACTCCTGTGTGACTATAAAAATTCTAACCACTCGTTATGTTAATGTCAATCATTCAACAATACATGTCTTAAAATGTTTGCTCTCATCTCTTCATTGTTCATTGTTCAGTAGGCTCGGTAGGCTCGGTTTTCTTGACACTCCCCCCTTGAGCAACCACTCACTGTTGGTCGTCTTAGAGGTCTTAAAGCTTCGGGCCGTGGTTCAGGTTGTTGAACCGCTCCGACATTTCCGTTCTCGGGTGGCTTTCCTGTGCTGACTTTCCTGTGCTGACTTCTAGCTAGACAAGCTTCTGCATTGGTCTCCGTAGCTTTAAGTGCGTTCCCTTCTTGCTTACAACCCGTAACGCAGCACCTCGTTTGCGACCATCCCTGCTCTCGATTAAATCCGTGACCTCTCCTAGTCTCCAATTCCGTCGTAGCAGATTTTCATTGTGTATCAAAACCAAGTCTTCGGTCTTGATCTACCTGTCATGGTCTCCTTGGGTACCGCAATGGTGAAACTCCCTCAGCCCGATAAGGTATTCTTTAGTCCATCATTTCCGAAAATGTTCTACGAGTTTGCTGAGGTGTCGCGCCTTTCGTTGTAGTTTGGAGGCGCAATCTTAATCGTCGCTTAGCTCTGTCCTATCAGGAAGAGTGTTTAGGCGTCTACCGATCACCAAGTACGATGACGTTAATGGCTCCTCCGTGACTTCGGGGTAGATGTACGTAGGGGTCGTGAGTTGAGCACTTCATCTACTTCGATTAAGACTGTAAGAGGGTCTTCGTATGACAGCTGCGCCTTTCCAAGGACCTTGCGAAGGCTTCTCTTGACTAGCTAGATCATACACTCATAATACCCTCCCCACAATGACGCTTTCTCTAGAATGAAGTTCCAAGTCATGCCTTGGTAGGCGGCAAAATCTTGGGGTTTCCTGTCTCTGAATAGCTTGGTAAGGTGTTTGTTGGCTCGCTTGAACGTTTTGGCGTTGTCGGACGTTATGGAGGCTGATGTCCCTCGTCTTCCAGCAAATCGTTGAAGGCCTCTAATGAACGCTTCTGAGGATAAGTCTGGGAGAGGTTCCAGGTGTATCGCTCTGGACGTAGCACATGTAAACAGGCAGATGTAAGTTTGTGCTGTGCCTCTGGTGGTCTTCGTAAATAAAGGGCCGGCGAAATCAACTCCCACGTGTGTGAACGCAGAGATATCGGTGACCCTTGTCTCGGGTAGATCAGCTTTTTGGGGGGCCTTGTAAGACAATCCTTCTAGTTTCTTGCAGATAACACATTGATGAAGCGTTTCCTTCACAAGTTGTCTGCCCATTGGAACCCAGTATTCACTTCTCACTTCTACGAGAGTTTCTTTCACTCCTCCATGATTCACCTTTCTGTGACAGGCTTCCACGATCAGTCTTGTCACGTGTTGTCCTCTTGGTAACAGAATAGGGTAACACGCTGCGATGTCCAGTGGAGCCTTTCCCAGTCTGTCTTTACAACTCAAAATGTTACCTTCTTCGCTGAACAAACCGAGTTGTTGCTTTAGATTCTCGAAATTCTTTTCGTGCTTCATAGGTTCCTGCATTTCGCGAATCCATAGGCTCCTTGCTTCACTGATCTCTTCTACCGTCAGGGTTGGTTTTGTGTTTTGCGGCTCTCTTCTCCGGTTCTTGCTGCCTTAAAATTTCTGATAAATTTTAGGCTGAGAGCGGTCACTCTGAATAGTTTCGTCGCATCACTGAACTGTTCGCAGTTAATTGCTTCAGCGGTCAACTTTGTAGTTCTGATACGCGTAGGCTCTTTGGTCAGAGTAACTGTTGTGGCTGCATGTGCCACATTCTCTGAGTTAGGTTCCCTTTCTTTAATTCTCTGGAACATTCTTCCGTGAGCTCTTCGTCGCTGACTGCTCCTAACTTCGGGTAGTTCTTCGGGGAGCTGTGTAACCAGACGGTTCCTTTCCACCACAAGCTACTACACACGAGCTCAGATGCCAGGTACCCTCTCGATGCGATGTCGGCAGGATTCTCAATTCCCGGGCAGTGGCGTCAGCTCTTTACATCTGTCAACTTATGGATCTCGTCTATTCTGTTTTGAATGAACTACTTGAATTCTCTGTCCGACTGGATCCAGTAAAACACTGTAATGCTATCGGTCCAACAGAAAACTTCTTCGATGTGTAACACCTGGGCCAAGGCTTCTCGTATGGCTGAGACCAGACGCACAAGAATGAGAGCGGCGAACAATTCAAGTCTTGGAATAGTCATGGGTGTCGAGGGCGCGACTCGAGTCTTGGCCGCTACCAGGCAAGTTCTGTATCCGTCTTCGCTTTCTATGCACAAGTAAACGACTGCACACTAAGCTCCTGTAGAGGCGTCTCCGAAGCCGTGTAGGACGGCAGATTTGACATTTGTCTTCTGTCCAGAGGACAGAAGACAAAGGTCAACCGCTACTACTTCCGTGACGGAAGTAGTAACGGTTGACGCTGACGTTGTCAACCTTCTGCAAGTCGGTCATCCACTTCTGTAAACGGAATTTCTAGTCCTGAGAAAAGCTTTTCTTATGTACGTGGAAAACCTCGAAACGGACAACACGCCTAAAATGGGTACTTTTCATCAAAGTTAGCGGTCAGATAACAAGTGATACGCTGTGAGAGCCGTAAATATTCCCATACAAACTGCTATAATTCAGCCGTGACTGTTACTGGGCAAGATGATCAACTCATAGCTGGAGCTTGGGCCGCCTGTGGATCTTCTGGAATGTATGTTTTCTCTTTCGGGGCAAGAGCATTTACTCCTTCGCATCTTTCTCTATTTTCCACTTCGTTTCGTAGAAGTTGCAATATTTCGGAGAGGTTCCAAGCTATCCCAAAAAGTAACCACTGGCCCGGATGGCCGAGGAAACTCTTCAACGTGAGTCAAGGTAGTTTCGCGTGTTTGTTTACGCTGGTTGCGTTTATTGCCGTGGGTTTCGGCGACGCTAAACCACTTCCACTTTCTTCTTTATCTTTTCGACAACGATCTCCTGTACTCGTTCGCTAAAATCTACGGCCTCTTCAATTTCTTCTTCGATTCCTTTCTCGTCTTCAAGCGCGTCCAAGATTTCGGCGTCTAAAGCACGAATCGTTTCCAGTCGATCTTCAAGGGATATATACACCTGTTTCAACTTGCTCTCCTGAGAAGGGTCGAACTCCTTAATAATCTCTTCTGCCTTGCCCATAAGTTTCTGGGTGTAGACGCGATGCCCTT